TTTGGAAATTTTTTGTTTTTTTTTTTTTTTTTTTTTTTTTTTTTTTTTTTTTTTTTTTTTTTTTTTTTTTTTTTACCTTGGCAAAAATTTAACATCAAGAACAGTCGTCGGAACAGCAGAATTAGGAGTTATTTGGGAATGACAAATGTTTTCACAGAAATCGAAATGTTATTTTTGTACAATATCACTTAGACTACTGTATAAATACCATTTGCTTGTACTCAGTTTTTAAGTCGGAAGGAAAGTGCAACTGAAGTCCTAGAAAATAGAAATGTAATTTTAAACTATCAATAAAGCTGGAGGAGCACGGGGAGGAGTGTTTTTGTCTGATTTTCATTGCAAAATATTTCAAAGTTTTAACGTTTCAGCATAATTATATTAATACAGCACTAGCTTAAATGTGAATGTCAATTTTTTAAGATAGATTGGTCCAATTTTAATTAAGTTATCCTGAAATATGTAATGAAATTCAACCCCACAAACATGGACATTCTCAATAAAATCCAGCGATATTCAGTTTAATATCTATTGGTAAAATTAAAGAAGCAACGTCATTCAGTGCTGTTGCTTTCCATATAAACCTTTTAAGAAAAATGCATTATCAGAGGTACAATATGACAGTTTTATGTAGTTCTCCCGTAAATATTTGCAATATTGTATTCATAGAGTAACCCCGTTTCCAGTTTAATATGTAGCGATATAATTTTTGGGCAACTGCGCTTAATGTGGGGGATTCCTTTGTCGTGAATTTAGGACATGAGGACAGCCAGCAGCATGCGTTTTAAAGGTAGCACAATAAGGAACTTCATGTTCATCGTGTGCTTTGGAGAACATACACAACATACACGCAACTCCCCCCCCCCCCCCACCCTCATCCACCCTTAAAGAGACCAATTGGATTAGATTAGAATTNAAAGAAATTTTTTTTCTCTTGTTTTTTTGAGAAAAAAACAAAACATTCCGCAAACCCCCCCCCCCCCCCCGTTAATTACATGCAGAAAATGCGATGATCTCAAAGTGGTTTTGATGAATGAAATCCGCTGTTTGTCCGAATAAGAGCTGGTAAGCTCCACCTCGGGCGTCTAAAATGGCAGCGGGGGTTGCGGTGCAGATGCAGCGCATAGAGACCCTCCTCCTCCTCATTCTGCGTCACCATCTCTGCTCCAGTCATATTTTAAAGAAAAAAACCAAGCCGAGCAGCCAGCCAGCGCGGCCGGTGTGAGCCGGCTCCAGCTTTATGTTGGGGGGGTCGTTTTCATTTATTTATATACACGCCGGGTTTTTTTTTTTGTTTGTTTGCTTGTTTTTGAACCCCCTGAGGGGTAAGCAAAGGAGATGAGGGGACTCCTGCCGTTATTCCGGGGCCTGCACACCGTGAGTAACCGTCAAGCCAGGCGCAAGGCTGGGATTGTCGGTTCTCGGTGCGGGCTTTGCG